ACTAACTAGCCTAATCTGCATTCAAGTGGTAATCAAATACACATACTTCCACAAGAACAATGCCAGACCCAGACTCTGTCTCCAACAACTCCTCTTTGCTCTTTTCCTCTGACGATGAACATAGCAGTGGCCACTACGATGCGGATGATCTTCGTGGAGAAGATGATGATTATTTCCAACAATGTCATATCTGCGGCTACGCGTTCTACTTGAATAGGTTTTCACCAGACGCACACGACCTGAATGATGTCACCTTCCACCATCCCAAAAAAGGTATCTGTAAAGCCCAAAAATTGGAGAATTTGGATATGTATGGCGATTATCAGTCATGCTGGTGGATGCCTCGTCGGATGAGTAAGCTAACCTGCTACCTACCATCATAAGTACTTACTGCGTGAGGTCAACATCATGGCCTGGAAAACCGCTGGAGGCCGAGGAAAAGTTGTCTGGAGGTTTGATTGCTACTGACACAAATACCCGCCAGTTCTACACAACATTAAAAACGATGGGTGCCAGATATCCGGCGTTACCATACCACGAATGAACTATGGCACCTTTTTTGTACCTTGGAAGAAGACTGATGGTTTGATCTACGAGCCTCGTACAAGTGACGAAAGGCGGAAGGTGGTCATGCCCATGATTACGGTTGTGAACGACGGAGGTCACCCCCTCATGAGCGAGTATGAGGACGATATTTCCCATGACTGGATGGGATATCCAGTCCACGCACGGTGCTGGGAACTGCTCATGCACCACAAGCTAGGCGATATTGCGAACAAGAACCTGAAGGTTCTCATGTTAGCTTTAATACAGAGGCATGAGGAGAACTCGTGGAGACGGGTGTGTGGAATGCCAGACGAGTGTTTAGGAGGTAGATATGCAACTTTTATATTCATTCCTTCTGTGCAAGATTTTTGAACACATCGTTGCCTTTGTTGAGTGGACTAATGGTTGAACTATTGCTGTGTCAGACCCGGTCCGGACAGAGTGTGTTAAAACAGCGCTGGAGCAGACTACTCAAAAGCGAACTAGAAGCAAAGGGAAGGTTTCTCAGCCTCATCCGAAGGTTACTCCGAAGGTCCGAGAGTCTATGCTTCTGCTTCTCCCATGGGAAATATTGAATATGGTGTTCGGCTTTCTGCCTTCTCAGGCAGTTATCAATGTACAAAGAGCCCTCCATCTAACCTTGGGCGATGACTTCTGGCACTCACGGATAAGCACCAAAATCTTCCATGAAGTGAAAACACCTACGCCCCGAATTAATTGGAAGCACTTATGCCTGAAACTGGAAAGACGACTAGAGAAGTCGGAGGCGTTAGCTACACGGCAACGCCTACTGACTTGTTTAGATGAGATATATTCATTGTGTAGCACTAACTAATACGAGTCTAACTTATGATCAATAAATAGCTGGTACTCGATTGTTCATTCAGCTAATATTCTGCGAAGTAGCAGAGGTCAGTAGGAATCAGTATGCCCTATACTTAAGGACAATTCGCATCCCTCGGGAACAAGCCAATAGTAAAAACGCCACAGTCCTCCAGCATTGGGAACCCCGTGATTGTCCCGAAAATTTTGTCCTCGGCAGATACGTATGCGCAACATGGCCGAGCTTATGACCACATCCTGGGCTAGTTGTCGATATAATATTTTCGGTACGCTAACCGCCAGGCCGAAAACAATATATCGCGTCTCTCTGGTCACCTGACAACAGATATGTTCATATCTATGACAATACGCATCTGGCGCCGCTTTGCAGCATCTACGCTCATGATATCAACCCCATTGAGCTGAAATATATTATGTAGAGTCTTTCAGCGATCTCCTTCTTCCGCGTAGTATGAGATCATAGAACGTCTCTGGATGGGCAATTGGCCGCGCACAGTTCTCTCAAAGTTCGTTACCATGGATATATACTTGGGTTGGATAGGGACGTGCCTTTGCTAAGCCTCCGGACTTCGGAGTTCTTGACAGATATATTCTGAGGTTATCAAGGTTCGACGTTGTGTCTTTGTGTTATGAACCGTTCTATTCCTTGTCATTGACTTGAAGCTGATTCATCACTGATAACCCTTTTACTAGAGTTTTATGCGGGAAGGAAGAACTTCTGGTTTCCCTTATAGAAGTTGTAATGGACGGGTGCATTCGGTCTTGCATGGTTAGGAAATGTGACGGACTCCAGCGATATGAAGTTGCTCAAAGAAGGAGAGCCGCACCATGTGGCAAGCACCATTTGCGAGACCGATGTGACTGTAGGGAGGAGCTGGGCTACGTTTCCGCTCATAATGATTCCTCTGACCGATAGGTGAAAGTCAATGAGCGAATTGGTGCAACACTTATTTCTGTTGCCTCTCGAATAAGGCTTCTTATAGACAAAAGCTTTTTTCTTCGGCCGATGAAGCCGTACAAAGAACAATCCTGGCCTTTAGTAAGTAAAACTGCTGCAGTTCGAGCCAGGATATCTTGTAGAAAGTGGCCAGTGATCTCGACATATCTTCAGGACTCTCTGAATCATCAAATAGCCCCGATGAGTCACGTAAGATTAGTTTTTTTTTGGCAGTCTCTGTCTTACAGACCGGGTGTCTTGCCGTAAGCTGTGGCCATGTGAAGGGGTTCTAGGAGCATTTCATCCGTGTCGCTGGTGGCCATATCCATTGCAGCTAGAACCACATTTGCTCTTACCTCCTAGAGTTCGTCATTCAACAACTTCGTTGATTGAGTATCGGTAATATTGAGCGCCCTCATGACAAATAGCAATGCTAGATCAGTAGGTTCCAAAGAGAGTGATCTGACTTTTCTTTTGGTATGCCTCTGGATCTCCGTCGTTAGATGACCCACTTCAAGGCAGCATTGATTGTCAACGTCTTCTCCCATCTCAGTATCTAAACGAAATATCCCATCGGCTCCTACTCCATTTAGCAGTGAATAGTTTGAGTATTTCCCTGGTCATCTCGTCTTGCTCATGATTCGACGCTCAAACAATCAATAGCGGGTTTCGCCTCTTCCGATGATATTATCATATCGTCCCGTTGTTATGTGCCAGTAGCAACTCTTATAGATACTTTTGCTTTGAATTTTTCATCCCCATACAAAGCGTATCTGATTGCCTGTCTTGCTTGTCGGGTAGCAGGTTGTTTATTGCCAGATTTGTCGATATCTCCCTCTTAGTCCTCCTTATAACAAATAGTAATTCTGCTGCAATAAATGAAGAATGCATACCATACAGGTAATATTTCTGGTATGTCCGTAAGATTTACCTTGTACTCTTCTGGTCGTTGTGCATAATCCTTCCTGGGTTAGTATTGTGAGCCACATCCCACTGACATTCCCGGCTGAACTTCACTATGTAGCACGGAGGAGTCTCACGAACCGAGGCAACAAAGGGCGAGGGGCCACACGGGCTAGCTGAGCATTGTACTCAAGCTGCAAGTTATCGCGGAGCACCGAAGCATATGCCCGTTAAGAATAAATAACAAGGCAATATCGAGATCCATAACTCTGTGATACCAGTGCATGGTCCAAAATCGCTTTGTGCTTCTCGAGACTTTGCCCGAACATCTCCGCTACTGGGAATCAACGGGTTAAAGTAGTAACCTATATCCCACGCACTTTGAAGGAACTCCGGTTTTTAACACCGTAGTGTTGTACTTGTTCGTGTGGATTAACGGTGCCTTTTTTTTACAATCCTCGTTTTTTTCCTTTGGCAACACATGCATGTTCTTTCGGGAAACATAACAAGCTCACGTACTATGAAAGTCTTATATTAGCCACGTACGGAATTATCGACGCTGCGAAGAGAGAACGTACAGTTGCTAAATGCAATGGCGCAGCAGCACAGACAACGGCCCAATGGGCCAGCTGGTAAAGGCAGAACAAGACCACTCTGAGACGACGGAACCTCAGCGGTCCACAGGACCTACTAGAAGTGGATCAAGTGTGCCGAATGACAGCACCATATTTGCCCATAATTAAACTGTTCAACAAGGTTGACCCATTGGGCTTGCTGGATAGCAATTGTGAGATGAAACCAGCAAAACGCCGAGACTGTTTCCAACAGCGGCCCACCGAGCAGTCAATATAGGCCCATAGGGCTACTATAAGAGATTTTGGTGATTCATACACCTGCGCAAGGTTAGTGTGCGTTCAACGTCTTGGACTTGGTATTCTATTATTGGCGAAAAGGGGAAGAGACGGTATGGAAGGGAGAGAGTATTCAAAAAGATGGGAATGCCAAGTGGAAGCGCAATTAAGGAAGACTGCACTCACCTTTCCCGTCGTTTCTTTATATCTGGAACATGTCCATGGTGTCAATTGGGGCTCCACATGGCAACCCGGAATATGAACTGAAGACTCCTTTCATAAACCCAATCTGGGCTTTGTCGATAGGATATATGTTTTCATCGACATCACTAAAGCAGATTGGCCAGTTCAGATGTATTGAATATATTCCTAACTTGCGGAGTTCGGCGACTTAGTATCCAGGTATACTCATAGTAGAATTCTTTTCGGGAGTGCTAGACAATCTTCCTTTTTTGAAAGATTGGACCAGTTATTCTATTTAAAAGACCAATACTTTATATTTTATTAAGGTATCTAAGTTGAGGGGATAATGCAGAAGGAAAATTACGAAGGGCAAAAGCAGCATTTTATATCCCTCCCCGAGTCCGAGGCTGGCAATGAATAATCATAGTATATGGAATAGTTGGCTATTCAATCAGCGCACTGTCAATATATCAGTGATCGATTGCAGTGATATCCGGAGAGTAAGGAGGGAATCATCGGGGTTTATGTGAATACATATCATAGTCTCCTGGATGAGGCGGACAAGAAAGGGAATATCAACTATTGGATTGCAGTGCTTAGGGTAGGCCGGTATCAGAATGTGAATGGCTTCGTCCTCGGGTCTTTATCAACCTTTGATTGAGAGGATTTAACTTTAAAAAAATTGCAATCAACGCTGCGTGAAATATCATCATTTGGACCACTCTAAGCCTTGACCCTTAGATGCTCAAACCCTCCAGCTGCGCGAGAAGCTTCCCCGAGTACATCGGTTCCAGATCGCATCCGTATCGCTGTCCATGACCTTGCCCCATACCCCTAATATTGCTTTGGACAATTAACAGCTCTCGTCGACGCTGTTCGAGCTGCTCCAGTAGAGACGCATACTTAGGCCCACGCATATCCAGACTTCCTTGATCATGTGCTTTTTCCATTTCCTGCACATGAGCCTTAGCAGCACCCAGCTTGGAATTTTGGACCTCGAGCTTTTCCGAAAGGGGTGATAGAGCTTGTGAATATACTGGTACGGCGGAAGGTTTACTGGATCTCTGATCCTGTGATGCTTGCAGTGTGCTGATCTTTTCTCTGATCACCCTGTTCTCCCTGCGTTGTGCTTCAATATCCCTCCTGAAAGCCGACAGCCTTTCGCGATGCATTTGCTCCATGGTCACTTTCAAGTCTCCTTGTGCCCTTTCAGCGGCGGCCAGCTTGTTGTAAATCTCCGCAGTGTTCTGGCGTAGCATTTCGGCGGATTCCCTGTCCCCTTCTGTGAGAGGTTCTTTCATCATTACCCGAAGCTCATCGAGCTCCCTCCTTCATCTAGATTGCTCCTTGCTCAATGCGTAACACCTTTTCCAGCGTCTGTCTCATGTAAGGCCTTCTTTTCTACTACCAATTCATTCTGAATAGCAAGTATCTTCTTCTCTTTGGTCGAATGGGAAGCCACATAGAGATCAATTAGACGTATTGTGGACTCATAGGTATTGTCATGCCAAAGGATTTGTGGGCCTGCTGCAATCATATCTCCCCATAATTCTGGGGTGGTACTCAGTTGCTTCTCTCTCCTGTCATCGTCGGCCGGGTCGACACGATCCCACATAGTAGTGACTAAGATACCACATAGCTTCTTCAGCGTAAAGAGGTTTTGTTTGGCTGAGCCGGGAATCCGGCTGTCCATGATAGGGTGTAGATACAGGATGCCTTTCAGAACAACCTTTTGGGAGAAGGATTGGGCGAGCCATTTGTCAATCTCTATCAGAAATTCGCTATTTGTTCGGTTTGTGTCGTCGAACACACGTGTACCGAGATACCCCCACAATCGAAAAGTAGTTTCTACTATTATGTTAGCGTTTATTCCGTGATATGGGACGCGTACAATATATTGTCTCTTTACAATAGCAACGTAAACTCGTAGCGAATAGTGAGTGCAGCGGAAGGCCTTTACAGAACACACCATACATATCAGTATTTTTTTTTCTTCTCTGTATTGATAGATACCCTTTCTGTTGGCATAGGGCCGAGAGTGAATGGCGAAGTGGTTACGTTTGGGTGATGTGCTTGACTGCCTTCTAAACTTCAGGTATTGATGACAGACTTCCCACCTCGTCTAGCAACTTGTTCCTTCCTTCTCCCCTCACTTATTTCCCTCCCCAGAAACTTGCCATCCATCTTCCCAACCTCGTTTCATCTATCATCTATTCAGAATATGTCTATCTCGTCTACCATGGCACCAGGAATTCCTGCACGCTCTCCTTCTCCGGAGCCACCCCTCAGTGTCAAGCTTCCTCGACCAGTAGCCCAAAAGATAGTCATTGAAATCGTCAAGTTCGTTCCATCAACGGTTGAGTATACCGAGTTAACGTACGAAGAAGTTGAGCCTGAGGACGGTTTGCTCGTCGCTAGGACACTGGCAGAACATCCAGAAATCGAGAGAAGAAGCTCTAGGTAAGCTCCCAGATAAGTATACATATGAGCTTACCAACGATTTCCTGCTTTAGAGTCAATTTCAACTCGGTTGAAAAGACCCTGTGGATCCGTGTTATGCCGAACTTCCTCCATAATGCTCACCAGCAGTGGGTTATGTCCGCCATGTTGGATTGGGCTTATAACGGCTCGGTGAAGAAAGGAGAGCATCTCAAGATTGCCTTCGGTGTCGGAACAAGTAAGTCTTAGAATACCTAATAACTCAATTGTTCTGACGAAAAGATCTAGGGTTTGAAGGATTCATCGGTGCTTACACATCTTCGTCTAAAGAGCCAGATCTATACCTGTCCGCCCGTACCGATAGAATGCCATCAATTGTGATTGAATCAGGATGGTTCGAAAGTTTTCCACGTCTCCGAATCGACAAAGACTTGTGGTTACGTGGCACAGTTGAAGTGGAATATGTTATACTCTTGAAGTGGAGCAAGGTGCGTAATGATAAGGTCAAAGGATCTATTGAAGTCTGGGGACGTGGAAACACAGGTAGCCTCCATATTCGTGAGCTGGTGGGTACATTTCTACTTCTTTGTTAAGTCATTTTTACTGATTTTGGATGAATAGGCCGTCTTTCCGAAACCCGATCCTCTACCCATCGAAGAATCTATCTGCTTTACGAAACAACAGTTGTTTGGTGGAATCCCTGTGTCTAACCCATTCACTGTACTATTACTCGAGATTCCAAGACTTCGAGAATTTGCTGAAGAAATTCTGGTGAACTTGATGGAGCTCAGCCCACGTTAGCATCGTCATTAAAGGTTGCTATTGCCGGTTGTTTCTAGGGACACTACTACGATGATGGCCGCTACGAAACAGCAATTGTTTGGTGCAAACCCCGTGTTCAACCTATTCCCCGTGCGTTCCCTTGAGTTTTCAAGACTTCGACGAAATTGCTGAGAAAATGTTGCTGGACTTGAGGGGCTCGGCCCATGTTAGAATTGTAATTAAAGATTGCTATTGCCGGTCGTTTCTATATATACTACAATGATGGCTGCAGATCAATAGAAAAAAAAGAGTATTATTATCGAAACTGACGTCCAGAGAAACAGGGCTTACAATAGAACTGTAGATGAAATCCTCACATGATCGATCACAACGAAGGAGGAAATTCCTCCACGAACTCGATAGGAGCCGAGTCAGGCACAGTCGCCCAGTTAGCCAGTCTAACCGCGTCCTGATTTAGCAACCTATCAATGTGCCACAGATGAACCTCTCTTCCCTGCACATAGCAACACCTCACCTCCTTCAGCAACGCCTCCCATAAGTCCCTATTCTTGATCGGTCTGCCACCAGCATTTTTCCAATCCCTTGTAAGCCATTTGCGGATCCAAATTGTTGCATTGTTGACAACATAACTTGAGTCCGTGGCGACAACCACGCTGTCAAACGTATTGCCGTCATGAGACAGATATTTCAAGGCCGCAATCACAGCTCGCAGCTCTGCACGAGTTCTCGTCTGTTGATGATAGACTCTAGTTGGTCCCATCAACTCAAGGCGACCAGCAATCCCACCAGTGATATTGCGTGATGGGTTCTGTGGTCTGTATACGAACGACCAGCCAGCTTTGGCATAGTTCCCATCCCCCTTCCAATTATCATGGCAAGCGCCAGCTGTATATACCAGGCATTGGTAGTGGTTCTCTCTTCCAACGAATCGTCGTATCGAAGGCCTGCCCTCTGATACGAAAACGAGAGGTTTGAAGAGTGATCGTGGAGTATCCTCTGGTGTTGGAGGGAGGAATCTCTGCGGGAGAACGGGCTGAATTCGGCTTTCTTTGCCGTGTCGGCCATTGTGTCTCTTGTTGGACTTTTGGTGTGGCTCATCGATCTCCATTGATCGAGGGTTCATCGAGGGTTGTTGTCTCTCGTTTCTGGTGGCTTTGGCAGAACTGTGGTTGTCATTATAAACATCACCAGCTTCCTCCATTTGGATGTCCTGAGCGACATGGGTATTATAGTCATCGCCGGCTTCCCACATTTCGATGTCCTCTCTCATCTTGCTGTAATCCACGCAGCACATAGCGCAGATCACGAGGAGGTGTTCGCGACATACAAGCCTCCCGCCGTCAATGGTAAGGGGGGAGGAGGTTCGGTCGAACTTCATCTTGAGGATGAATGATACCTTTCGTGTCTGGGGCTTCGATGGTGATGGGGGAAGACCTTTGGTGCCCAAAGAAACTGATAAGGATTGTTCAAGTGGTAAGTCGCTTAAATGTAAGTACAGGGGTGTCGACTGTTATAGAAAGAATGGGAAGTTCCTAGGCTGAAAAGCGTAAAGTTATGCTACGATAAGCATCTGTCAACTAGCGTCAGACCTCTTAGAGGCTGTTTATATGGGCGTGGGTTGTCCCTTGATGGATGAGCCTGCGTGGGAGAGATTCTCTTTAGGAACTTCCCGTAGATAGCGGGATCTTTCACGGAACCCTGCTGAGGTCTAGTTTTATTCACTTGACTTCATGCAGGCGACGATATGGGCCTTAGAAGGTATCCTCACAGCAGGTCTTTCATGGCGGTACAAATCAAAATGCTGATTTTTTTGAACTGATCAGCAGGGCTGTCTTCATCATTAGTCTTGCTGGTGCCTCTGACTCATTCTGGCGTGAAGGATGCATTTTCGGTTACCGCTGATCTGTGAATATAGTACGTGAAAGACTCTTCCGGAGTTATCCAGAAGATGTCGTCATGTCCATTTTTCTAAGTATCGGTAGGCACTCTACGACAGACATTCTCCTTTGTCTAAAGGGTAGACCAAAGGAACCCTCTTGAATCTGGAGAAATACTCAAAGGACAGACAAAGGAAATATTAGTGCCTGGCACCACTACCATCTTCTGAGAAAGAAAAACCAATTTTCATCGATTGATGGTCAGTTAAGTATCCTTGGCCGTTTGCAGTTCATTCTTCCGATCGGGTTCCTGGATCGGACGTTAGTCCCTATCCTGTGTCATTGTCCCCACTATTCGGAGGTTGAGTACTCCGACGACGTGGTCCCTGGAAGGTGGAACAATCCACTCGAGCAAGCTGAGCAAGTAATTACGTGTGAAGATTCTTCTCCTGATGACCCGAGTTCCGACTGTTAATGATTCCACGTGCTATGGTGGGGAGCATTCCAACTAACCTTAATACTTAGTCCTGAGTGCACATGGCGGACACATCAAATACGCTAAAATTTTGTAGCTTGGCGGAAGGGTCTCCTGTCATAGGCAAGAACCGTGAACGGCGAAAGCCCGAACGTTGAAAGACTGGCAAGCATCACCACACACATGATATCTGAAGACAGAGCACGCATGTTGAGACCGGAGACGTGAAGTCTGGATCCCAACAGGCCTGCGACAGGTTTTGATCATCGGGGGAAGAGGCAAAATGAGCGGACGGCGCGCTCTTCTCAGGCAATCCGCACGCTCAGTGGGCGCCATTACGAGCTTGAGACCTAGTCATTATCATCGAGCAGCGGAACAGGCTTGGCAAACCATTGTTTTCGCCTCCCTTCATGGCTTTTCCCTTACGGAACCTGTCCGCGGAGTGGGTCATATCACGGCACCAATCTTATCAATCAGTCACAATGAGCAGGATATGGCCAATGAGAGCAGACTACTGCCACAGCTTCAATAATATTAGCACACCACATGCTCCAGCAAATCGAGGTTTTCACAGATGCCAAGCCTAATATCGCAATCCTAAGACAGGCGGCTTTCCTCGAAAGGGATGCTTTTGCGACAGTCGGAGAAACACGGGCATCTTATCTGATGGTATCTCCTTGGCACCATGGGTCCGATCGGTGAGAAAAGAAGCTTTAGCTTGTCTGAGCAAGCTTGCTCCCCGCTGCTGGCATTCCTATAAAGACTGTGTCGATCCATTCCTTTCTTCGCTGCCCGCCTTTTGTTCCTGTGCGACTGAAAATTTGCTGGGTATTATTGCAAAAGAGGAACGACTGCACAAAGGCCGCCAACTTATATCATAAGACCAATCGTGAGCCTGATAACGTCTGGTTGGTGGTTTATCTGCCCTCGCCTTGCAATATGGCGACCGACAAGAAAGTCACCGAGGTTACAACTGCAGAGCCTACCTCTTCAGACTCGTTCCATTCAACAGACAACAACACAGTAATGGACAATGCAGATGGAAAACGACCGCCACCGTTGCTCGCTAAGCTGATTGCCGTGGTTGTCATTTCCTGCATTAGTTTTGGGTCCCACTGGAGCAGCGGCGTTGTGGGAGCGATGAAGAGTACTCTAAAAAAAGTAATTACACACTGCTTCCAACACTGGAGATATTACTGACCTTCGGTGTAGCAAATGCACATCACGAATACTCAATTCTCGTTACTTGAAGCCAGTGAGAACTTTATGGCTACCGTCCTTCTTCTGCCGGGTGGTATTGTGACCGACAGAGTAGGAGGTGCTCGTAAGTACATCACACCTTCGTCGTTCAGTTTGCAATATCTAACCTGCCACAGGGATGATCGTTTATGGCAATATCGTGTATACCATTGGATCCATACTAGTGGCTGCTGCAACCACAGTTCGATCCTTCAAGTTCATGGTCGGCGGAAGGATCATCCTCTCCCTTGGTGACATTGCTACCCAAACGGCACAGTACAAGATGTTCTCGTCGTGGTTTCCTCCAAGCAATGGATTCGCCTCGACCCTTGGTTTTGAACTGGCAATTGGCAAAGTAAGCAGATCACCACACACGGCACATAATGAAGCTGACCGATACAGATTGGAGGGTTTGTAGGGAAGTCAACAGCAAATATCATCGCTAAGGTATGGATATCATCGACAATAAAGCCTTTCGATCTACTGACACTGAACAGAATACCGGTAATTTCGCTTGGGTCTTTTGGACATCCGTCTTCATGAACCTTTTCACGAACGCAGCAACTTGCTTCTTCTGGCTGTTCAATCGTTATTGCGAGAAACACTTCCGCGGTCGCGAAGACAAGGCAACCCAGGAGACTCTGACTGAAAAGAACAAGAAGTTCGAACTCCGCAAGATGTTCCAATTGCCGTGGATGTTCTGGGCTATTCTCGCCTTCTCAATGTTCCAGACTAGCACAGCCAGTGTCTTCAGCTCGAACGCCACAGAGCTAGCTGAGAAGAGATTCAATGTCGATGCAATCAAGGCGGGATGGTACAGCTCGTTGGCCCAATATGCAGGTAGGTCATCAATTGATTTTACGTTACAAGAGATATCGCTGACCAAGCCAGGTTTCTTCCTTGTGCCCTGCTTGGGGGTTTTTATTGACATCCTCGGCCATCGTGCCTCTGTTCGTAAGTAGTTAACTCCTACTACTGAGCAACAGTTTACTCACGTTTTATCGCAGTATGCGTGTGCGGTTTGGGGATCTTTATCGCTATGGTATTGGTGAACTTCGCCGAGTCCAAACAAGGCACAGCCGCGGCATTCGGTATGTACGCGGTTGCGGTTTCACTGGGCCCAACATCTATCATCGACGGCATCCGTACCACTCTTTGGCATCAGTCGGTCTTTGGCTCTGCGTACGCACTAAAGGTTACCATGAACAACGCGTATGACCCCTTAGTAACCAAACGAACATAGAGAATCCAGGGACTAACCAATGGCTTTAGGATGACGATTATTATCGGCATCATTACAGGTGCGCTGCAAGATGCTGATAATGATTCCTACCGTCGATCCGTGCGGGTGTACCTCTTTCTGGCCATCTGTTGCGCGATTGTTTCGATCGTCCTCCTGATCGGTTCCATTATCGGTCGGGATCTTG